AAAAATAGCACAAGCCAGCATTTTATAACAAGAGAAACACAATGATATGTAAACATGTGACAGATACTCATTAGTACCAAGAATGCAAAATAAGACCACAGTGAGATGCCATGTTATACCCACTAGACTGGCAAAATTAAGGGAGTCTGAGAATACCAGAGGGCAGTAGGGACGTGGGATACCTTGAAAGGCACTTAGGACACTTGCGTGACCCACGGGAGCACTACATTGACAGGACAACCCTTTGAAAAGCAATCGGGCACTGAGGTAGACTCTTGTTCAGAAATATTTTCTGCCCCTCCCTGTGTAAACATTACACTTTTCTGTCCTACTAATACCTGGCTTGGCCGCAGGACTTGCTCTAAAGGTTACACTCAAACGACTAACTGTGAGCAGAAGGACAGATATCTCTTTGCCACGAACGGCAATGTCCCGGTGAAGCTCCCTCCGCCCCTCAGTCCCAGAGTGAAGCAACAGAAGCAGAGTCGCAGCCAGCTGCAACCGGCATGTCACGACAGTAAGAAATACTGCGCCTTTGTTGTCTTGTATAATCCATGAAGAGTCGGAGTCATTTATGTATGTCTGCACAACTTAGCATGTCCTAACTGATATTGGCACCAGTTTGTAAAGTTGAGCACCCACATGCCCTAAGATCCAGCAATTCTCTCGTAGAAACTTTCCCCAGAGACACTCTTGCACAGGAAATGTACATATACATAAAAACATTCATAGCACATTGTTCGTGATTGCAAAACACTGTGAAAACAACCTCGATATCCTTGGTAGAAAACAGATTGATAAATATGGCTAATTTGCAAAATTAGACAGCAGTCCAAAATAAATAGCCTTCAAGCTAACACACCCAACGGATTGCACCATCAGTGATTGCTCTCTTATTCTCGCCAGAATACCAAGTTGCAATACCTCTTGCCTTCAAGCCTCCTGCTCAGGGTCCCAAATTATCAGACAATTCCACCCAGAAACCTCACATGAGTCATGAGCTCAAATCAAATCTCAAATGTCCTTATTCTGTACGAGTTATGTTGGCCTTTCTTACTCTCAGGAGGAGTGTTTTAATATATTTCTTGGAAAGTTAAAAAATCTTCCATAAATATTACCTTCAGTTTTTACGATAACAACAGACTCCTATCAAAATAGTAAAGAAAAAGCTAAATGAAGGCACTTCATCTATTCAAACTCCAAATATTTTCTGAATGTATATCCTATACCAAAGCATAAGAAAATACATCCTGTAAAGAGGAGAGAAAAATGAATACCTATTATTGCATTAAATTTCCTTCAGGCAACATTTTCTTCAAATATTGCTCAAGTTTGGATCCAACTTTTAGATCAAAGATGATAAAAACCACCAGCTGAGTCACCTGCAATCAAATGCTGTTTTTGTTCCAGAAAAATATTTGATAAAGTTCAATATCAATTCATGATTAAAAAATAAAAACAAACCTTCTCCATAACCAGAAATAAAAGACAACTTCCTTAATATGATCAAACATATGTATAAAAGAACTAAAAGTATTCCTATAAAAGAAAAAAAGGCCAGCAGGCCAGGTGCGGTGGCTCACACCTATAATCTCAGCACTTTGGGAGGCCGAAATGGGAGGATCACTGGAGGATAGAAGTTCAAGACCAGTCTGGGCAACATAGCAAGCCTCTGTCTCTACAAAAAAGAAAAAATTAGCTGAGCATGGTGGTACATGCCTATAGTCCCAGCTACTCGGGATGCTGAGGTGAGAGGCTCTCTTGAGCCCAGGAGTTCAAGGCTGCAGTGAGCTATGATCAGGCCACTGCACTCCAGCCTGGGTGACAAAGAGAGATCGTGTCCCCAAATAAAAAATTTTAAAAAAGAAAAAGAAAAAACCAGACTATCCCATTGTATTGGAGGTCCTACCAATAAGCCAAGTAGTACATCAAATGCAAGAAATAAAGGACTAGAAAAGGAAGAAAGTATTATTATTCCAAAAAATGTGATTGCCTATATAAAAAAATCCAAAAAATCTACATGCATGTCATTAGAAATAATAGGAAAGTTTATCTAAGAGACTAACTATAATCCAATATAACAAATCAACTGTATCTCTGTACTCCTGCAACAAACAAAATCATGTAAAAAGCAACAGCAAAGCAAAGTACCTAGAAATAAATCAGAAAAAGATGTACAGATTGCTTCTGGAGAAACTTTATAAAAAATTATGGAAGGGCTGGGCGAGGGCGCGGGGCGCGGTGGCTCATGAGCCTGTAATCCTAGCACTCTGGGAGGCCGAGGCGGGTGGATTGCTCGAGATCAGGAGTTCGAAACCAGCCTGAGCAAGAGCGAGACCCCGTCTCTACTATAAATAGAAAGAAGTTAATTGGCCAACCAGTATATATAGAAAAATTAGCCGAGCATGGTGGCGCATGCCTGTAGTCCCAGCTACTTGGGAGGCTGAGGCAGGAGGATTGCTTGAGCCCAGGAGTTTGAGGTTGCTGTGAGCTAGGCTGACGCCACTGCACTCACTCTAGCCTGGGCAACAAAGTGAGACTCTGTCTCAAAAAAAAAAAAAAATTATGGAAGGACATGAAAGGAGTTTTAACTAAGGGGAGGAATGCAGAGCCGTTGGCATGGATGGGAAGAGCCAGCAAACACAGGGTTGCTGTGTGGCAGGCATTGTTCTAGGCACTTATGTACATTAACTCAATTTTGTAAAAATATCAGCTCTCTCTACATTAAACTACATAGGTTTAATGAAATCCCAGTCAAAATCTTTGGGAATTCAGATTCTAACACTTATATCAAAGAAGGGAGGATCAACAATAGCCAAGGCATTCCTGATGCGGAGAAAGAAGGTGTAGGAAGATGATGTCCTCCGGGTTGTCATGGGCTGTTACACGCAGCCACTGCAAGAAAGGACAGTGTGGTATTGGCACAGGATGGGCAAACGGACAGTGGAACGGGAGAGAGCACGGAAGCAGGAAGCAGACCCAGGGCTGTGCGGAAGCTTGGTGGATGGCAGAGCAGGGTTGCAAACCACAGGGCAAACACGAAGCATTAAGCAAGTGATGCTGGGGCAGGTCTACCCATACAGAAAACCTGGCCTCAGATCTTGACCTTCCAACACGCACAAAAACTGATTCCTGATAGCCTGGACCTAAATACGAAAGACACGACTGAAAACTTTTGCAATAAAATGTGAGCAAATATCTTTATGAAATTGGGGCAGAAAAAGATTTCTTTTAACCAGCCCCCTCCCCAAAAAATGTTAACCATACGAGAAAAGAGTTCTAAATGTAACCAAATTAAATGAAGAGCTTTTTTTGCTTATTACCAGAAAGGCAGACACCATTAAAAATAGAAGGTCAATTCACAAACAAAGGAGATATTTATAACGTGTAACTGACCAAAGATTGTGATCCAGAATATATAAAGAGCTTCTGGATTTAGTTGTCTAAGTAGACAACTAAATTTTTTAAAATGGGCAAAAGTAGCACAAGCCAGCATTTTATAACAAGAGAAACACAAATGATATGTAAACATGTGACAAGATACTCATTAGTAACCAAGGAAATGCAAAATAAGACCACAGTGAGATGCCATGTTATACCCACTAGACTGGCAAAATTAAGGGAGTCTGAGAATACCAGAGGGCAGTAGGGACGTGGGATACCTTGAAAGGCACTTAGGACACTTGTGTGACTCACGGGAGCCTACATTGACAGGACAACCACTTTGAAAAGCAATCGGGCACTGAGGTAGACTCTTGTTCAGAAATATTTTCTGCCCCTCCCTGTGTAAACATTACACTTTTCTGTCCTACTAATACCTGGCTTGGCCGCAGGACTTGCTCTAAAGGTTACACTCAAACCGACTAACTGTGAGCAGAAGGGACAGATATCTCTTTGCCACGAGACGGCCAATGTCCCGAGTAGAAGCTTCCCCTCCGCCTCAGTCCCAGAGTGAAGCAACAGGAAGCAGAGTCACAGCCAGCCTGCAACCGGCATGTCACGACAGTAAGAAATACTGCGCCTTTGTTGTCTTGTTATAATCCATGAAGAGTCGGGGAGTCATTTATTATGTCTGCACAACTTAGCATGTCCTAACTGATATTGGCACCAGCTTGTAAAGTTGAGCATCCACATGCCCTAAGATCCAGCAATTCTACTCGTAGAAACTTTCCCCAGAGACACTCTTGCACAGGAAATGTACATATACATAAAAAAAAACATTCATAGCAACATTGTTCGTGATTGCAAAACACTTGAAAACAACCTCGATATCCCTTGGTAGAAAACAGATTGATAAATAATGGTACATTTGCAAAATTAGACAGCAGTCAAAATAAATGCACTCAAGCTACACACAACATAAATGAGTCTTATAAATATAATTTTGAGTGATTCAAGCAAGTCGCAGAAGGCTCACGTACAGCACAATACCATTTTCATAAAGCTCAAAAACAATCAAAACTCAATAACACAGTTTTAGGGTACATAATTATATGATAAATAATTTTTTTAAATCAGGGGAAAGAGAGACCCAAAATTCTTGAGAGAGATTGCCTGGGGATGGGCAGAAGGTGAGGGAGGGAAGCAGCACACAAATGCTCTGACCTTGACTCTATAGAGGGTCAGATATTAAATATTTTAGGGTCTGTGGGCTGGACAGTCTCTCCCACAAAATACTCAGTGCTTGCTGTCGTGCAGAGGCAGCCTTGGACGGTATATAAATAAATGTGTGTGGCTATCTATGTCCCCATAGAGCTTTACCTATGGACTCTGACATTTGAGTTTCATATATGAACAATTTTATGTGCCATGAGATATTATTCTTCTTTTGATTTTTAAAGACCACTTAAAAATGCAAAAGCCGTTCTTAGTTCCTAAGCCATAAGAAGGCAGCTCTGCCCGGTGGCTCACACCTGGAGTCCCAGCTACGGGAGGTGGAGGCAGGAGGATCACCTGAGCCCAGGAGTTCCAGGCTACAGTGCACTAGGTTCGTGCCTGTGAATAGCCAGTGCGCTGCAGCCTGGGCGACAGAGCCAGATCGTGTCTCTTAAAAAAAAAAAAAGGCAGATGGCACCAAATTTGGCCACGGGAGTTTGGTGGCCCCCCCGCTCTAGCGCTCTGGTTGGGCTACGAGCTTGGGTGTTCATTTTCTCATTGTATGTCATACCTTCATACATGTTTCATGGATGAGTTTGTGTATCAAATATTATGTAAAAAGTTAAGAATTTAAAAAAAAAAACAACCTAGCTCACAGGGGAGCAGGACAAAGGCAGGAGGTATGAGGAGGGGAGGGACCACGGGACACGCAAAGACATTTGAACTCTTTCTGAAACTCTTCCTCAAGGTCTGAGACTTTTTTGCTCTTGACACCCAACTCAGGCCCTCTGATCACTGTCCCCCCGATAGTGGAGGACATCGTCGTGTCATGTGATAGGACGGAAGGGAAGTTTGGTTGGGGATATTTGCTGCATCTTATGGCTTGTTGATATGCCATAGTAGCACAAAAACATCCTGCATTGATTTTGATTATAACTGTAGCTGGACTCTCGGCCTGTAGGATTGAATTTAAACTGTATCTGGATTGCAAAAAACTAGCCCCGGCCTGTGGCCTGTGAAATGGCATCTAGAAAATACCCTTTCAGGATGGCTCTGTCCCCTGTACGCTTGTTCTGCTAAAAGCAGCACATTTTTAAAGGCCAATTCACTAGCATTTAGGAGAAACTTGTCGGGGGTAATCCTGGGGGTTATGGAGCATCACGGTTTTTGTTTTTGCAACACAGGACAGTGGGATGGCTGGCATGTCCCCTTTGCTTCTTCCCCAGAGAGTCCAGCAGCGCTTTGCATTTCCACGTCACAGTTCACACCCTCCCTCTTCTTCTTCCGGAAATCGGCAGCTACAGGCGTCTTCCTCTTGGGCAGTCTGAACTGGTTTCATAAATGCTAAAAAAAAAAAAAAAATTTAAAGATTCTTATACTATGTTATCTTATAGTATATTATGTTTTAATCATTTAACATTCTTTTTTTCCATGAATAAGTTCTGCCATCGCAGAACATCTCTAAGCAGCAAGCATTCTCAACTTTAATTTTAACAAACGCATCCACGGAGAGGTAATAGCAAGTGCGAGTTATTCTAGGGGTTATTTATGATTTTCTTCCCTTTTACTAAATATTTTTAATGGTCTTTAAAGATGATTTCATTTATTTTCCACAACGGCTAACAAATGTCCTGAGAATGAATCGCTATAGTGTGAACTGTTAGCCCTATCCCAAACACAACTGCAGCTGCGTTCCAGCAGCACATACATTAGCCTCAAAGGCTACTTAGACTGGAGATTAGGCAGTTTCTTTTGAATGAAATGCTGTTGCACCAAGACCTTAAAGACATCTACTCGTAAGCAAACTACCGATTTGTGCATTCGTGTCCAGGTTTTCTCATATATGTTAGTGCAAAGCATTTGTGTTACTGCTGAGCAGGTTTCAACTGCAGTATACATTTCTTCACAGGCCGACAAAGCCAACAGGCCCACCCCAAATTCACGTGCTTGTCACTGTGAAAATCGACCAAAACCAACAGCCACGTTATCCGCCAGAACTTTCGAATAACTGGCAAGAATTTCAGGAATACCAACGGGATTTTAAGACTAATTTAGAAAGGGACAGGGGTAGAAGAGGAAAGTTTGTTCCAGAAGGAGCGATCTGAGGGAACATAAGGGTTTCTGTACAAGGACAGGGAAGGGCCATCACTTGCTGAAACACTGGCTGGTTATTTTTTCCAGGCCTGAGGAAAGGATGAGGCGCTTATAAATGCAGCTAAAGCAGCACCGGCCTCGAGGTAGGCAATGGCGAAAGAACTGCAGGTCATCTGACGCCGGGACCCAGCTCCCCAAGCTGTGACTCCAGCTTTGACTGGACAAGAGGCCGATTCCGGTAACTTTCCGCAGTGAGAGACCGCCGGCCGCGGACAGCTGTGCACTTGAGGGCCTTCGTGTCCCTGCTTCACCCTTTAGGGTGTGAGGCCTAGTTGTGATGCATTTGAACCTTAAGCATCTACTCCAGCTGAATACGGGTCATATGTGACATCCTCAGTATGCATGCATTAAGGTCCCTCTCATGAATATTCATAGCTCCCCTCGTAGCCTGTTGAATATGCATACTCGGCCTACCTGGTCAGTGTAAATTCCTGCCTTTTCCAGGCTGTCAGGGTGGCCAGACTGCAGGTTGTCGCCCTTTATAAGAAATAAAGCTCTTTTCTACCAAAAGGAAATAAATAAATAAATAAAGGAGATCTGCTTCCAGAAAGGTGGAAGTGTCATACTTTTCCATATTCCCTCTGAATGCCACTGAAAACACTGGACCTTGTACCTAAGACAAACATAAGGACACTCTGCAGGTGCAGCGAGGCAGGCTGGCTACGGATCTCCGGGCCCAGGGAACAACACGGCTATGAGCTCCCTTGGTTTTCTTCCTGCCTCATCTGCCCCAAACCGGTCAATCGAGAAGCCTGGTAATGCCAATGAGTGTGGCCCCAAAAAGCCCCAAGCATAGCCTGTCTCTCCAGCTACAAGACCAGGAAAGGAGCAGTAGAGCAAGACTGAAAACTTTCAGACAATAATCACTCAACTCTAACAAAAGATCACAGAGAAAACTGTGGCCCCACCCCCGAGCCCACTGGGAAAGGCCCGGCAGAGAGGCCAAGCATCTACCCTGCCAGGCTGTATTAAGGCCCACCTCCTGGGGAGTCAGGACTTTGCCATCAATAACCGGGCTGTTCCCCACTCCCACCCCTTCACGGTCAGGAGAGCCACGTGGGTATCAGTGACAAAGTGCCCTTCCTCCTCCTGGCCATGGGGCATCAGCAGAGGCCTGGGGGAGCCTGAGCTCCCAGGCATGTCCAGCAATAGCAAGGAGCCCCTGGCCCTCCAGCAGGCCCAGCGCAGAACCTACACGTCCACTCCTGCCTGGCGGGAACAAGGGGCCATCCTGCTCCCTCCACTAAAGCGGTGTCAGAGGAAGCCTGGGGAGATACAAGATTTAAATCAGATCCAGAGTCTCATCGCCTAACACCCAGCATGTCTGAGTCGTAATAAGAAGGATCACTTGCTACACTAACAACCAGGAAGATCTCAATTTGGATGAGAAAAGACAGTCAACAGACACTGGCATCCAGAGGGCACGGATCTGGAATCACTGGGTGAGGATTTTAAAGCAGCCAGTGTCAAAATGCTTCATCAGGCAATCAGGGACACGTTTGAAACAAATGAAAAAGAAATAGAAAAGAAACAAGCGGCAACTTTAAAAGACTGAAATTTACAAGCACGGAAATTTTTTAAATCAATGAATGGGCTGAACAGCAGGATGAAGAGGACAGAGGAAAGAATCAATCCCCAACCGGAGCACCAGAGAGAGACTAGGAAAACAACGACCTGAGCCTCAGGAGCACGTGGGCTGTAACAAAAGATCTCCTTTTGGTGTCTTTTGGAGTCCTAGAAAGACAGGAGAGAGAGAGAGTAGGGCTAAAGAAAAGTACAGACACTCCTCAACTTACGATGCAGTTACGTACGTCCCAGTAAACCCACCGTAAACTGCAAATATCATAAGTCAAAAATACATTTAATACACCTAACCTGCCAAACGTGATAGCTTAGCCTAGCCTACCTTAGACATGCTCAAAACACTTACATTAGTCCACAATCGGGCAAAACCACTTAACACAAAGCCTATTTTATAATGAAGTGTTGAGGCCGGCATGGTGGCTCACACCTGTAATCCTAGCAATTTGGGAGACTAAGGCTAGAGGATTGCTTGAGCCCAGGAGTTCAAGACCAACCTGACCCTGTCTCTACAAAACATGTTAATTAGCTGGGCATAGCACCATATACCTGTAGTCCCAGGTATTCAGGAGGCTGAGGCTGGAGGATCTCTTGAGCCCAGGAGTTGGAGGTTGCAGTGAACTATGATGACACCACTGCACTGTTTCCCCGGTGACAGAGTAAGACCCTGTCACACACACACACACAATAAAGTGTTGAATATCTCATATAATTCATTGAATACTGTGCTGACAGTGAAAAACAGAATGCTTGTATGAGTACCATCATAAAGTCAAAAATTATAAGTTGAACCACTGTATGTTAGGGACTATCTGTATTTGAAGAAATAATGGCTGAAAATGTCCCAGATCTGAAAAGAAACATGTGCATACACAATCAAGAATCTGAGTGAACCCCAAACAGGATAGGCCCAAAGAATCCACACCAAGATACAATAGAGTTAAAGTTCTGAAAAAAAAAAAGACAAAGAAAAAATCTTGCAAGCAGCCAGAGAGAAACGACATGCTACTTATAGAGGAAAGCAATTCAAATGATGATGGATTTCTTATCAGAAACCATGCAGGCCAGAGGGAACTGGCACAGTATTTTTCAAGCATTTAAAGAAAATAATTATCAATCAATCCTAAATTCTATATCTAGTAATTTTCAGGAATGAAGGGGAAATTAAGACATTCTCAGATAAAAGAAAACTAAAAGAATTTGTTGCCAGCAGATCTATTCCAAAAGATAAGCTGAAGGAAATTCCCTAAGCAGAAAAGAAATATAATGGAAGTATTTAAAACAGGTATACTATCAATATACTTCCATATTTAAGTATAGATAGGAGAGGGGTTAAAAACTTGTACAAGGAAGTAAGATTGTGACATTTCATTCACACTGGTAAAATGTTGATACCAGTAGAGTGTGATAAATTATGTGTAGCTAATATAACACCTAGATCAAGCACTAAAAGAGCTATATACAAAGAGATATGGGCACACCTCATTTTATTGTGCTTCACTTTATGGTGCTTTGCAGATACTGTGTTTTTGTACAAATTGAAGGTTTGTGGCAACCCTGTGTTGAGCAAGGCTATTGGTGCCGTTTTTACAACAGCATGTTCTCGTTTTGTGTCTCTGTTACATTTTGGTAATCCTCACAATATTTCAAACTCTCTCACTATTATTATACCTGATAAAATGATCTGTGGTCAGTGATCTCTGATGTCACTATTGTAATTGTTTTGGGGTTTGCAGTAGTGCACAGTGATGTCCTAGGTCTCTCACTCACTCACTCACCCACCCACCCAGCGCAACTGCTGGTACTGAAAGTTCCATTCATCGCAAGTGTCCTACACAGATATACCATATTTATGTTTAATATTGTATTTTTACTGTACCTTTTCTATGTTTGGATATGTTTAGATACACAAGTACTTACCACTGTGTTACAGTTGCCTGCAGTCTCCAGTACAGTAACAGACTATATAGATTTGTAGCCTAGGAGGCGACACACTATATCATACAGCCCAGGTGTGTCGTAGGCTATGTTATCTAGGTTTGTGCAAGTACTCTCTATGATATTTGCACAATGACAAAATCACCTAAAGATGCATTTCTCAGAACATATCCCTGTTGTTAAACAATGCGTGACTGTACTTAACACAGTAAAGACGTCAATTCTCCCCAAACTGATATACAGGTTTCACACCATTGCTGCCAGAATCCCAGCTGAGTTTTTATAGATGTAGATAAGATAATCCTAAAGTTACATGGAAATAGCTAGAACAATTTTGAAAAAGAATAATAGCTTGAGCCCAGGCGTTTGAGGCTGTGGTGAGCTATGACCACACCACTGCACTCCAGCCTGGGCGACAGAGGAAGAAGAAGAAGGAGAGGAAGAAGAGGAAGAAGAGGAAGAAGAGGAAGAAGAAGAAGAAGAAGAAGAAGAAGAAGAGGAAGAGGAGGACGAAGAGGAAGAAGAAGAGGAAGAAGAAGACAAAGGAGGAGGAGGAAGAAGAAGAAGACGAAGAGGAGGAAGAGAGGAAGAAGAAGAGGAGGAGGAGAAGAAGAAGAAGAGGAAGAAGAGGAAGAGGAGGCGGAGGAGGAGAAGAAGAAAAAGAAGAAAAA